GAAAATCCCGAGGTTGTTTCCTCGGGGAAAACACTCCGACGCTCAAGTCAGCAATACTCAGTATTCTAGAGAGAGATGCTCTCAAGGAGTAATTGAAGAGAGAGAAGCGTAGAGATAAATTACCTTCATCGGAGGTAGTTGGGGGGTATTTATAGCCCCTTGGTGCTGACATACATCTGCACGTGTAGGCATTCCCTTGACCCGCATGGCGCTGGTCACATGGGTATGTTTGTGCTGATGCATCCTCAGCTTGGGCTAATAGGTGGTAACCTAGGCCCGTTATGCGCAGCCCTATTTGAGTGTTGGGCCTGTTGGGCCTATTCCAACATTACTCCCCCCCCCCCCGGTGTTCGATTGACGAACTGGGATAGATGTGACCGTGGGTCAATGTTCTAGCTGGTGACTATGACGGGTAGCTTTAACAGCTTACGGCCGACCTTGGCGATGGCTGAGCTGAGAGGTAATACTAGAAGAGGCAAGCTCGCGAGTCTAAAAGCGTGGAGGCGAGCTGATACCTTAGCAGCACTAGTGTGGGCTTGTGATAGCAGCAAGCTGAAGCGATTCGTAATAGACGAGCTCGCACAGGGATCAGTCATGTATATAACCCTCTTTCAGCTCGTCCATGTGGCGACCTGACCTTTGAGTACTACCGAAGTGCGACCAGGTGACATGCAGTGCGACTTGAGGTTTTAGACCACCACTTTATCAGCTCGCACGAGTAGTGCTGTCAAATAGGGCGACCTGACAGATGTGGTTGTGGATTTTAGTAAACGATCTACACTTGTGAACGAACTGGCACGGTTGAGCCGATCTGGCGAATATGTCATCTTTGTAACGACCTGGTAAGTGTGCTCGCAATGGCGAGCTTATGTGACAGTACAAGGTACACATCAGCAATTACGATCTGAATCTTGGGATTTTTTGAGTCAAGCAAATCTCTAAGGAGATACGATTGAACTTCCCATATCTCTCTGCCTTTCCCGTCATAAATGCTGGCTCAGCATTCGAGGGACGTGACAGCTAAAGCCGGCGCACATTATGCAGGATGGGCGTTAAGCGCCTGCCACGTGTGGGACGCTAGTTGGCGCGTCAGAAACACGCGTACGGCAATTAACACTGCCATATCCTTCTCTGCGTAACCGTTTCCTTTTCCATTTTCATTTCTGTGTTTGCTTGAACTTTCCAGAATTCTCTCCAGCGAAACGCTCCAGCTTGAAGACTCAGTACGCCGAATCAACTTCGCAATACTTTCAGGTAAAATGGTTTCATTGAGAGAACTTACAGAGCAACGAGGTAACCAGGGCAGAGAGGGAGAAGAGGAAGGGATTTTGTCAGTGGAGCCTATCACGATGATAGTGCCGCCTGAGTTGTAGGATTCGCCGGAAACGATGGCGTCTGAGGGAAGCACCAGTTCGAGCACTAGGGATGATGGTGACGACCATCCTATTGCGTCTTCTAGCAGCTCGTCTACTGAAGAGACACCTAGCCGTGAAGAAGGGATGGGGGATGTGGTGAGCAGTGTCTCAGATCGGCTGGTGGTTGGGGAATGGGAAGGCATGACAATCCCGAGCAGGTTGAGTAACCTACGAAAAGCACCGAAGGACCTGCCCGCTGGATTCAGGTTCAAGGCTGTACTTCATCACGAAGTAGCAGACTGTGCGCCCTCCATAAGTGGGTATAAAAGACTCGAGGAGATGGTGAGGGCATACCACATCCCCAAGACCATATTGCTGCGGACAGGCGGGCAGAACGAAAGGGCGTGCACAGTGTCGCAAACGGGCTGGACACTAGTGTACGCGGACCACTTTGACGCCGGCCTGTGGTTTCCCCTGCCCGGCCTGATATTCGATCTACTCGCGGATTACGAGTTGGCGCTGACGCAGCTAACGCCCAACAGCATAAGGTTCATCATAGGCTTTATGCTGTTGTGCGCGAGATTGGAGGTACCAGCTAAAGCGATAGTGTTCAGGTCGCTATTCCAGTGCCGGTTGTGTCCGAACTCACGAGGAGCGAAGTGGTACTACCTCTCTGGGAGGGATAAGAGCCAGCTCTTCAAAAATGTGAGGAACAAGGTGGCGAGGTGGAAGAGACAGTTTATTTTTGTTCGCGACACTCGAGCAGAAAGGATAAGCAACGACCTCGCTGCCCGGCTGTCTGAGTGGCGTACCCTCAACGCTCATATTAACTATCCTCAGCTACTGCCCCGGGATGTCGACCTGAAGAACCAGCTGCTCGAGTATTCACAGAGGGAGGGTCTAATAGATCTAGAAGCCCTGGTTACCTCGGAGCATCTCGCCATGTTCGGGTTTGTCGATGTGACAAACCTGTTCAGCGAAGGTATATTTTTATCATATAGTACTAATTCTAGTCGGGCTGAGTCTTATGCATTTTTCTGTGCAGGAGACATGAGCAGCATCTTGGAATGCCAACGACAGCAAGCCCAAGGCTCACGAGGTTGTGCGTCGGGCAGCGCGCAACCCAGGCAGACAAGGTTTGACGAGCGGCCGCCCCCGGCGCCTCAATCACGCGGCTCGTCACATCGGGGATCCAGCTCGTCGTCAAGGCCACGAGCCGATCATAGGGTTGAGGCTGCGGCCCCTGGTGCACGCAGACGTGCACGCGAGGAGATAGAGAGCGAAGAGGATGAGGTTCCCCTTGCTCGGCGCAGAATAAGCGGGGGGACTCAGCCCGCGCAGGCGGCGCGTCCTACAACCGTGCGTTCGCTCGCTGCACCGCCAACGACTGCGCGGGCAGTAGTAGAGCCCGTCTCTACCTCAGCTTCAACGTCGGGCCCCAGGATCGCTTATCCTGAGGGCTTCACCTATGTGCGGGCGGAGTGTCAGCCCGCCATGGTGCAAGCCATGCACAGCTTTGTGCCCCCCGCAGACAGTAAGCGGGCAAAAGCATTTGTGCAGTAGCATGGCGGGCAGGTCGCCATTATCAAGCTAATGGATGTAAGTATTTGTTCGTACATAAGCGTTTTACTTTTCCTTACGAGGTACTTACGAGTGTCACTATCTGGCAGGCATTCAGCTACGCTGTAGCACTGTCCGAGAGCGAGCAGGGGGCTCGTACAGAGAACAATGAGCTCAGTTCCAAGTGCAAACAGTTGGCTGCTGAGAAGGCCAGCCTTGTAGACGATGTGAATCGTCTGCAAGGCTCTGAAATGGCGAACCGGGCTGCGGCTGCCGAGAGCAGGGCGGATGAGCTCGCCAACAAGAACAACGAGCTCCGGGAGGAGTTGGAGCGAGCTCGAGCTGAAAAAGAGAGCGGAATACAGGCGGCAAAGGATGAGGCCGCCAGGGTTGAGGAGAGGGCGAAGAAGGCTGAGACCGACAGGGACCGTGCTCAGCACGAGCTGAGCTCCCTTAGGCACCAAGTCGCCGAGGCGGATCGAAACCTTGCTGCTGCCGTGGACGTGCTGAACGAGCTGAAGGCTTCCCATGCACGTTCTGTCGTCATCGCCCGGGCTCAAGGGGTGGAATGGTTCGTTGGCTCGGCTGCGTTTCAGGACGCCGTGGCGGTGGCGTCTGCAAATGTAACCACGGAGATCTACAACGAGATCCGTGGGAAAGTACTGCAACACCACCCGGACTTCCCGATTGGCGAACTGGCATTCTTTGACGGGGAGGACCTGAATGAGGAGGGGAAAAGTCTCGCTCCCTTTGTCGACGCCACGGTGCGGTTGAGGTGGGACCTCAACGAGGAGGGAGTGCCTGTTTGGCCTCCTCAGGTCCTTGAGGACGGGGAGGATCCAACGGGGCTGCCCTCGTTTGACGCATGGGTAGAGGGTGCTCCTGTAGCTGAGCCGGAGCCTTCAACCACCCCGCCCAGCTCTCAGCCCGCTGTGGTTCCAATCAGCTCGCAGTCAGCGCGCCAGTCTCTGAGGCCGCTGCTCGGTCTCCTCCAGCTCGCTCTCCCGCTGCTGCTGCTGATGCATCTATGCCCGTCGATCTGACGGATGACTAGATTTAGGGTTTTTCGTTTGTTCTTTTGTATTTCACTTTTGCATTTTTGTATTTGATCAATGTAATGTATACGTACCCTCAATGTAAACATCTTTGATGAAATACAAAAATAAGTTTTCCTCTGAATTTTTGTTGTATTTTCAGTATATCATTGTTTACAACTGTCGAATGACAACTTGAATAAAAGAATAGTATACAGGTTAACTGTAGAATTTTCTTAGATTCTGTATGTTCCAAATGTAAGGCAAATGACATCCCTGTATATCTGCTAATACATAAGAGCCAGGTCGTTTAACTTGACCAACCATATAGGGGCCTTCCCAATTAGGAGCGAGCTTGCCCATGTACGAATGGGTGTTAGTAAGCCCAGCTTTACGTAGGATCAGGTCGTCGACTTGAAACTGGCGAGCTCGAACTCTTTTATTGTAAAATTTTGCAACACGACTTTGATGTGCCATATTTCTTATTCGGGACATCTCCCTGATTTCTTCCACAAGGTCTAGGTTTTCTCTTAAGAGCTATTCATTATTCTGATCGTCATGACGATCTGATCTTTCGGATGACAATCCGACCTCGACGGGGATAACAGCCTCAGCTTCGTATGCCAGACTGAACGGGGTTTCGCCTGTGGCCGAGCTGGGTGTAGTACGACATGACCACAACACTTTATTGAGCTCGTCAACCCAATTAGTATGTGCGGCCAAAACACGCGTTTTGAGTCCCCGCAAGATGATTTTATTGGCGGACTCGGCTTGCCCATTGGACTGTGGAGTGTACACAGATGTCAAGGCGAGCTCAATGCCATAGTCGTTACAAAACGACCTCAGTGCTACTGCTCGGAATTGTGGCCCATTGTCGGCGATAACCCGCTTAGGTATGCCGAACCTGCACACAGATGAGCGAGCTGAGCTGCAAATCACGTTTGCATCTATTTTATTTATAACCTCGGTCACCAAAGACTACCTGCACAGTATTGAATTGAACAAGAATTCTTCTATTTCTCTTTTTGTTGTCGTGGACAGCGGTTTAGCTTCTATCCACTTAGTGAAGTAATCCACTGCGACGACCAGAAAAGTGCAGCCTCCTTTGCCTTTGGTGAAGGGGCCGAGCAGGTCGATACCCAATTAAGCAAAGGGCCAGGGAGACGTGAGAGATGATAACATTTCTCCTGTTTCAAGGAAGATATTTATGCTAAGTTTTAAGACAAACAGGAAGTTTGCATGATCTTTAGAACAGGCTCAGGTACCTGGCATGTGTATATCATCAGCATTGAACTGGCAGGTCGGACACTTTTTGACATAGTTCTGCGCGTCCTCGACCATAGTAGGCCAGTAATAACCATGCCTCAGGAGTTTCCGAGCTAAAGTCTTGCCACCTATGTGCGTGCCACATACTCCTTCGTGAACTTCTCTCACAGCATATTCAGCTTCGTAAGGAGTAAGGCAATGTAATAGGGGCATAGAGGCTGCTCGTTTGTAGAGCTGGTTTTCTAACAAGGTGAAATGTGCTGCCCTGCGCTTAATCACTTTTGCAGCAGACTGGTCTTCAGGTAGCTCGCCACTTTGTAGATAATTTACGAGCGGGGTGGTCCAGCTCGGTGTAGAGGGATCTGTACTTAGCAGTTGACACTCGACTGTGAAATCAGTGTAGCTTGGTGCGTCAAGTACCTCGACAATTGTTGATCCCTGAGGGTTAATGTCCTGCGAGGAGGCCAACTTTGACAGCTCGTCAGCTCCGTGGTTGTCTGCTCTTGGTATTTTATCGATTTGGAAAAGGGCAAATATCGATTTCAATCTGTTGACCACAGAGGCATAACGACTGAGCTGGGGATCCCTGATGTCGCAGCTACCATTCACCTGGCCCACCACAAGCTGTGAGTCGCTGAAAACCTGAATGTTTTGTACTTTCAGCTCGGACGCCAGCTTTAGTCCGTAAATGAGGGCTTCATATTCTGCAGCGTTATTGGTCGTCTGAAACTTAAACCTCAGTGCATGCTCAGACTTGAAGCCATCTGGGCCTAGTAACACAGCCCCAGCACCCGACCCTTCAGTGTTTGCTGCTCCATCAACATACAAAACCCAGACTGGGTGTTCAGGTGCTGTCTCTTTGTTAGTTATTGAGGTGCACTCCACCAGAAAGTCCGCTACGGCCTGGCCTTTTATGGTTGTGCGCGGCCGAAATTTCAGGTCATTTTCACTCAGCTCGACGCTCCACCCAATAAGCCGACCAGAGAGTTCAGGTTTCTGCAGCATTTTTCTCAATGGTAAATCGGTATAGACGACGATCTGATGAGACTGAAAATAAGCTCTCAGCTTACGAGCCGTGTAGACCAAAGCAAAAGCAGCCTTTTCTGCTAGCGGGTAGTTCTGCTCGGCACCTTGTAATACCTTGCTCACATAGCAGACAGGCTTTTGATTCTTATTCTCTTCCCTCAGTAGGATCGAACTCACTGCCTCTTCCGTGACCCCCAGATACAGATATAAACATTCCCCATCGACAGCCTTGGACAGCAGGGGTGCGGATGCTAAATACTGTTTGAGCTCGTCAAACGCCCGTTGACACTCAACCGTCCATTGAAAGTTTTTAGGCTCCCGCAGAGCTTTGAAGAACGGAAGGCACCTTTCAGCCGATCTGGCTATAAACCTGTGCAACGCAGCTACCCGACCTATCAGGCGCTGTACATCTTTTACAGTCTTTGGGGGCTCCATCTGCTGAACGGCCTGGACCTTTTCTGGGTTTACTTCGATTCCTTTCTTGGATACCACGTACCCCAGGAATTTCCCTGATTCCACAGCAAACGTGCATTTCAAGGGATTCAGCTTCATTTGGGCTCGACGCAAGTTTTGAAAAGTTTCATTCAGATCGTCAATGTGATCCTCAGCTCGTACGCTGGTGACTATCATGTCATCTACATACACTTCTATGTTTTTGCCGATCTGGAGCTTAAAGATGATTTGCACCAGCTTCTGGTATGTTGCTCCAGCATTTTTGAGGCCGAACGGCATCATGACATAGCAGTAGATCGCGTCGCCAGCATAAAAAGCTGTCTTTTCCTGGTCGTCTAGTAGCAGTTGGACCTGGTGGTAACCCGAGCTGGCGTCAAGAAAACTCATCCGTTCATGTCCTGCTGCCCGCTCTACTAACTTCTCAACGTTTGGCAAGGGATGAGGGTCTTTTGGACATGCATCATTGAGGTTGGTGAAATCAATACACATCCTCCACTTGCCATTTGGTTTTTTGACGAGCACAGGGTTAGACACCCATTCAGAGTATTCCACTCTTTTAATGAAGCCTGCCTGTAACAACTTTTGTATCTCCTCGTCAATGGCAGCTTGCTTCTCAGGGCCAAAAAGGCGGCGTTTTTGCACCACCGGCCTTCTGGTGGGGTCTGTGCTGAGCTTGTGGACTGTTAATTCTGCTGGAATGCCAGGCATTTCATCTGTAGTCCATGCGAACACATCTTGATTGACCCTCAAAAATTCCAGGAGCTCTGCTCGCTCTTCTTTTGTGAGCCTAGTGCCGATCTTGACTGTTCTTTCCGACACATTAGGGTTTAAAGGAATGGTTTCTACTTGCTCTTCTGGCTCTGCTTTCTGCTCGACACCCTCAGGTCTGTGCTCAATGTCCGATATGCTCATTGTCTGTTGGCCGGGCTAAGTCGGCCTTCTACTCTCAGAGGAGACGCTCGGGGCTTCAGCGAGCTCAACCTTCTTAAATGTATCTTGATAACATGCTTTGGCCATCTTTTGATTTCCTTTAAGCACTCCTACCCCCTGAGGAGTTGGGAATTTCATGCAAAGATGGGGTTGCGAGATGACAGCCTTCAGTTCGCATAGGGTGGCTCTTCCCAATATAGCATTGAAAGCTGATTCCATCTTAACGACCAGGAAGGTGACGGAAGCCATCCTAAAGCGTGGTTCTGAGCCCACATATATAGGAAGGGTAATAACTCCCTCAACCGGGACGGGCTGGTTATCAAACCCATATATTGGGCCTTCGTGCTTCTGCAGCGAGCTCGGATTTAGCTGCATCTTCTGGAAGCAACTCCAATACAGGATATCTGGTGAACTACCAGTGTCAATGAACACTTTATTGACATTATGATTGCCTATATGAACCGTTGCCACAAAGGGATCTGCATGGGGCATCATAATGTCAGGCTCTCCCTCTGCTCGCTTGTAATCTGCCGGGCTGAATGTGATGGGCGTATTTTCCCATTCTGCTTCCTCAAACGGCCGTTTCAAGGGTCTGTTTTTGTTGACAGTCATCACCTGCCTGGCGTATGCCTTGCGGGCTCGGGCGCTTTGGCCCCCAGAGTGAACACCTCCTGATATCATGTTTATTGTACCTGAGGGTGGGGGTATCCCAGCATAGCCTACCCCTTTCTTATCTTTTTGGTTCTGGGCAGCAGCTCTTTGTCCCTGTCCTCTCCTGTTGAACGGACGTCCTCGGTATGCTCTGCCCTACTCAGAAGGGTACTGGTTATCCTGATATACATCCTGCGTCCCGCCGAGCTGGTACCTCTGCCCTTGAGGTCGGTCGTACGCCTGTACAAAATGGGTTTGAGCGGGTTGCTGGGTGTGAGGCTTCTGAACATACCCTTCTAGTTTCCCATTACGAGCCAAAAACTCCAACTCGTCCTTCAAGTGTTGGCAATCCTCTGTATTGTGACCATACACACGATGGTAGTCACAGTGCTTGCTCTTGTCTGCCCTCGGGGAATCATGCAGTGGGGGTGGAGGTCGCCTAACTCAGTGTTGGATTTGTGCTAGGATTTGGGACCTGGGTAAGGTCAAAGGAATGTAATTGGCATATTTCGGGAACTCAGCTGGCTTCCCCCATTGCTCACTGACCTTCTGCTTCTTCTTCTCTTCTCTTCTCGGTTGTTGTTCCTGGCCTTTGCCCGGCTTGTCATCAGCTCATCGCTTGGATAACTGAAAGTCCTCTGACAGTATGAAGCTGGCCGATCTGTCATTCACCTCATTCCACGTCTTTGGTGGGTTTTCAAGCAGGTCGTCTAGAAACCGGCCACGCTTCAACCCATGCAACAGGGCGGACAGGCAGATCGTGTCTGGGACGTTATCAATGTCCAAGGTGGCCTTGTTGAACCGCTGCATATAATCCCTCAACGACTCCCCTTCCTTCTGGTTAACTTGCATCAGCTCGGTTGCTATGCGCTTGATCTCCCTTTGGCTTGCAAATTTGTTAGAAAATAGCTTGGCGAGCTGGGAAAATGAATCTATTGAATGTCTAGGGAGTTTGTGATACCATCTCCTGGCTGTTGACTTGAGTGTTGCTGGGAACACTTTGCACATCATGGCATTATTGGCGTTTTGGATTCTCATGATGGCTTGATAGGTGTGTAGATGTTCATCAGGGTCACCCGAGCCATCATATGTCTCCAGGTGGGGAATTTTGAATCCCTCTTGATACGGCTCTGCCGTAATGGATAAGTTTAGTGGTGCACTATCCAAATCCAGAGTCTGTTGATGCGACCTGGGACTTTTCAGCTCGTCAATAGACTGTTGTACGTCCCGCAGCTGTCTTTCAAGGTCTGCGTTTTTTCTCATCAGTTCTTCACTATGTTTGGACGAGCTGGGCTCCATATTCAACTTCCCACTTCCCCTTGGCCTAGTCGGCACCACTACGTTGCTTAGAGCAGGGGAGTTTCGAGTTGCGACAACCGCAGCTGGTTGTGCATCTCTATTCAGCAAGGGAATCAAGGGGTCATCAGGAATTAAACGGGCAAGGATTTTACCCATTGCCATTTCAAGAACTCTAGTTCTCTCTTCGAGCTCGGTTGTCCGAGCAGGTTCTGTTGACCTTTCAGGTCATTCACGCTGTGAATTGTACGGTCTGGCAGATCTTTGTCTTGTTCTTGTTGGAACTTGGAACTGTTCAGGCTGGGTTGCATACCCAGTCGGTGTTCTTTCATCATCTGTCTCACTTAGGTGATCCTGTTCGGCTCCCCCTACAAAAAGGTTTCTTGGCATTGGTCTAAAGTCATTCAGGCCGGGCTCAAATACGTGAGCGTCCTCCTGTTCGTCTATTTCATTTCTTGGAGGGCGACCTCCTGTAAAGGTACGGACCATTTTGTCTTTCAGCAGGTTAAGTCACACAACTTCTTGTTCGAATTCCCACAGACGACGCCAATGTTTCGGCAACTTCGCAGTCCAACACTGTTGAAGTCCTCAGCTGCTTCTACACCTGAAAATCCTGAGGTTGTTTTCTCGGTGAAAACACTCTGACGCTCAAGTCAGCAATACTCAGTATTCTAGAGAGAGATGCTCTCAAGGAGTAATTGCAGAGAGAGAAGCGTAGAGATAAATTACCTTCATCGGAGGTAGTTGGGGGGTATTTATAGCCCCTTAGTGCTGACATACATCTACACGTGTAGGCATCCCCTTGACCCGCGTGGCGCTGGTCACATGGGTATGTTTGTGCTGATGCATCCTCAGCTTGGGCTAATAGGTGGTAACCTAGGCCCGTTATGCGCAGCTCTGTTTGAGTGTTGGGCCTGTTGGGCCTATTCCAACAAGTTTGAAAATGTTGTGGTATATTTTTTTTGTAATTTTAATCATTAAAAATATTTTAATTTGAGAGACACAGCCACACAATAATAAGAAATTTGTAGAGAGAAGGTAGAAGGAAGAATTCTTCCCTCGCGCCCATATCACTCATCATAAAAGCTATGTGTACGTTCTGTTTATTTATAGAGCCACAGGTATACCTTTAAACTTTTTCACGCTTTATATTAAAAAGGTGCATCAAGAAAGAAACTGAATCAATTTCCCTTTAAATTTGGTAGTGGTACGGAGGAGTTATAATTTTGCATTTTGCATCTATATAAACAAAATATTTAACCTAGTTAATCTTTTAAAATATTAATTGTATTAAAAATTACATTTATGTGTGGGTGTTAAAAAATATTATTAACATATATCAAATCACAAAATTTACTCGAATAAAGAGAGTTAATAATGTCTTTTTTTGATTATTTGTGTCTTAATTAGATGGATCTAGAATTTCATATAATAAATTTGCCTGTGTGAGTGGTAGTGACGCTTCCTGTTAACCGTAGTGAGTGGCAGTGACAGACAATTGCTCAACTGATGATGATTCAATTGACAGTATCATGTGTTGCGTGTTAGGTATTAGAAACTTGAGCATGTCCAAGGAGGATGGACAAATTAATTCTCTGTAACCATCATTATTAATTAGATAACTTTTTTAAAATGTTGACACTGTGGCCAGCAACTAGCTTTGCTAAGTCTTCTGCCATGGTGTTCTTTTCCCTGTAATTGCCAAATTGTTACCGATTAAAATTGCTTTAAGTAATGATAAATAGAA